CTCTAATTTTTTTTTTTTTTTTTTTTTTTTTTGAAAAGAAAATATTTTTCCTTAATTAAGGAATTTTACTTAATTAAATTTCTTTAATTAAGTTAACCTTAATTAAATTTTTTTTTTTTTTAATAAACATAATTAAAAAACATTAGTAGCTTTCCTTTCCAGCAGCCAATCACTCCCACAGAATTCGGAAGCCAGTTACGGAAGCGAGTGATGAGGAGGAATATTCCTCTAGTAGAAATCAAAGATTCTTTGATTCCTCCGCTGGCGACCGCCGAGCGTCGTTCCCGTTCCTGCGCGAACCTTCCTCTTTCCGCTTCCCCCCCCCCGACCTTTCCTCCCCCGTCCCCTTTGATAGCAACTTTTATGAGTTCTTTTGGTTCAGAATCATATACAGGAATCGGCTTCTGAACTATTACCCGTTATTGTTGAAGCCATTATCTTCTCCCTTTTTATGATTTTGGTCATTCCTTTGGGGGGTAGAAGGACAATGATTTTAACTTCATCAAATATAAATTGGGCACTTCAAACGCATAATATTATTTTCCGTTCATGAGTTTAACTGGATTGTTTTTTTATTTTCCAGCTTCAATGGGTGGTTGCTGTGAAGTAATAGGTTTAAGGGAAATCTGTGATGGTTTTTGTTGAGAAAATTAGGCGAAGAAAAACAGTAATCGACACAAATCCAGAAGAACACAGAGATTTAACGAGGTTCGGCAAAGATGCCTACGTCCTCGGGAGCAGAGCGGCGAGTTCCTTTCAATAATCAGAAAAGAGGTTACAGAATAGAGAATACCTCCTGGGGTTACTAACAGGCCTATTTATAACCCCAGGAGTAAACCTAGGCACAATATGTAATTACAACATTACCCCTGTACCAAACCGCGGGGCTTTGCCCCCGCACCCCAACCCACGTAACTTCCCAATTTGGACAGATTCTACGCTCCGCTCCGCTCCGCTTCGATCCAGCGTCTGTCCCGATATGATATATGAGCCATACCATAACAAAACTCCTCCATTATGGCTTACTCAAACACAATCTTTAAATATTTGCTATGGTCAATGGATTTCAGTTTAAGCATTTCACAGCACATGATTCCAAATTTACTTGGTTATATATATATGCAGCCGCTGTTCAAGTGGTCGAGCCTCGACGCACCCACATCCTTAAGCAACACCAAGGGCATGGCATGATTATGCCGGCCAGCATGACTACGCCGCAACTAAGCGTAGCTATGCCGGTTGCATCGCTCCTCCCGAACCCACCAAATATTGAGTACTAATTAAGATTTTTTTTTCATAACTCATCACAAGTTATTGCTATAAAAGAAAAACAAAGCAATAGAAGTTTTTATTTTCAGCTGATAGGATTGGTTGCAGGGATTAAAAGCCATCTAGAAAAAAAGCTAACGGCTTGCTTATCTGTATTTTTGACTGCAACAATCATAGACATCTAAGAAGGTCTAAATTATAAATATATATTTTTTCATCAGGGAGTTGTTGTACTAACTCTGCACCTAAAGCAATGAGCCTGTTGTCTGTGACTTAACTAAAACTATTACTATACACACACCAAGACCCCACCATCTCCTATCATCCATGTGCGTACAAATAATTTGTGAATTCAGATAATTAAATTAAATTAAATTAAGTAAATCTTTTGCAGAAATACCCAACCGGCCTCCCCCAGCGCCAGTTGAAGCCTTCATATGTTCCCTTTGGTCTATTAGCAGGCATAAAAACAAAAATTAGAAGCACTTGCAATCATTAAGTTACTGTCTCTTTAAGCTGCAAAAACTTGTTGTTCTGTTGATGAAGAGAGATTCTACTGAGATTTTCTATCAAAAAAAACCTTTTTTTATGACTTTTTTACGTATTTGACCCTGCTATGTTTGTTGTGATTATACTGAACTGCTAACACCCATGCATTAATGGTGGAATAAGGAAAAGTTAGGAGTGGCTGATTTATAATTTGAAAATTGGGGCATTTACGTACATATCACACAGTTCTGATGTATTTACATATCTGACACCTAAACAACTTCACATCAAAAACACTATCATCACTTCCTTTGTTAGGTGAGACATGCATTTTGGTGCATAGATTTATGACACAAAACTGTTATAAGTGTAAATATCATAAAAATTGTGTGGTTTTTATGCAAATTTCGCTTAAAAAATTTAAACTAAAGACACTAACAATAATAAAAATTTAGGAAACTTGTCTCTCATCCTCAAATCATTGTAACTGTTTATTGCATATAATAAAACTCTCTGGAACTATCTTAATTCAAGTTAAAGAGAGGCAAATTATCTAACTAAGCGCAGAGCAAGAATTAAAATATCCTGTAATCCTTCAAATCCACTCAAGCTCCAAACTTTTATAAGAAATAGCGCCAATCTCAAGTTCCATATTCGCCATTACCTAACCTCACTCCTTCCTCCGTCAAAAAGTTGAAAAAAAAAATCCCATCTTGGGAAGAAGGCCACATCATTCATGGAATCCTCCAGCAAGCCCCCACTGAACTTGAAATGGCTCTTCTGCTTGCTCTGCGGCTTCATTGGCATCTTCTTCCTGTCTTCATATCTAAGCAAGAACTACACCCCTTCTTCAACTTCCGTCGAATCCCTTCAAGCTCTCAGCTTCTATAATCTAAACCTCAGTCCCAACTCCAACCACTCAGCAGAAGCTCCATGCCCTGCAGCCTACAGTATTATCGCCCCTACTTCTCCTCCTCCTGCTCTGGCGCCCGTCATTGCTCCTTCTCCACAACCTAACGCTGCACCTGAAGCCCTGCTTCAGAAACAGACCTGCAACTTATTGGAAGGAAGATGGGTTTATGATCCCAAGGAATATCCTCTTTACACAGAGAGGCAGTGCCCCTTTCTGAGCCAGCAGGTCAATTGTCAGAAAAATGGGAGGCCGGACTCTGACTATATGCACTGGAAATGGGAGCCGCAAGGCTGTGACATCCCAAGGTACCTTTTTTTTTAGCACAGATGATTGAGAAAGAGATCTGAAACTCAGTTACTTATACTGTAGATTTCAAATATTCTGAAGGTTTAATGGAATTGAAATGCTGCTGTGGTTGAGGGGTAAGCGCATGGTTATTGTAGGAGATTCGTTGAATAGGAATCAATGGGAGTCGCTCGCCTGTCTTCTCTATTCTTCTGTTCATCCTTCGCGCACCGTAATCAAGCTGCGAGATTCTCATAAGCTGTTTCGAGCCATTGTAGGTTCAATCAAGTTCTTGCTAATTGTCTGAGGAAATCAATTACTTGGAAAGTAACTTAATTTTGAATTGATTTGAAGGATTATGATTGTTCGGTGGAGTTCTACTGGAGTCCATTTCTGGTGCGAGTGGACGAGAACAAAGAGGGGGATAAAATTCTCAAGCTGGATAAGATGCCGGAAGAGTCTCGTTTGTGGCGGAGCGCCGCCGTGCTTGTCTTCAACACCGGCCACTGGTGGACACACAGTGGCAGAATGAGAAGGTACGTGAATTTTCACTTTTGCAATATATACATCAAAGATTTACATACATGCCACTCAGTTCTCAGTATATTTACATGTCTTAAAACTTTTTTTTTTATTTAAGCTTTATTTTTTATATATATCACCTTATCTAAGCATGAGAATGTGTATCTCACTTTTAAAAGCTAAAATAATGATATTTTAGACTTTATTTGCCTTCAAAAATCATGGGTTGAACGCTTCTTGTCTTCTACGTTTTGAGATCATGAAATTTTTGTCTGTCGCAAAATCTAAATTTCTTTTTTCGAAAGTCGAAAGTGTACTCAAACAGATAGGGGCGGAAACAACATCATTTTTAAAGAGGGGCAAACTGTCCACCTATGCCCAATGTAAGAGGAGTTATAGTAAAGAAGGACAATGTAATATTTTTTGAGGAGGAGCAAAACTGATATTTTAGGAAGGACAAAAATCCAATAAAAAATCTTAGATGTGATATGAAAGATTTGGGCAGTATAAATATAATAAAAATAAAATTAAAGTTATTGAAATGTAAATACATGAAAAAAATGGGTGGTGTGTAACATGTAAAAGATGAATGGGGTAATGATGTAATCCAATGTGTTAATATTTCATCATGTCAGTTGAGATATTGCTAATTTTGACGAATGTTTGGTGGGTGGATGGAAATATGGAGCAGTTGGAAATACTACGAGTGGAGAGGGGAGCTGGTGGGGGAGATGGAGCGGGACTCCGCATACGGGATAGCTATGAGGACGTGGGCTGATTGGGTGGATCGCCATGTGAACCCCAACAAGACTGCAGTCTTCTTCCGCAGCATATCTCCGGAACACAAGAGGTACATCTACCATTTCCACTTTAAAACTATCTACGGTCTGATTCTGTCGCAATTATTTAAATATTAGGGGGTTTTTTAAATACAGTTTTTAGTTAAATATATATAGAGATATTTACATACCTATATATATAATATAAAAAATATAGCAAAATAAAAAAAACAATACATATATATATATATATATAGATATATAGATAGATAGATAGATATAACTTTGGGTTATAGCACTTGAAACATGGCTATTTAATGAATTGATGCATATACGCATGCCCAGATTAAATCATTACAAACTTGATGAAATAAAAATGCTATGGATTTGAACTTTAATGTGAATTTTTGTTAATTGAACAGATGAAAGAGGGTATTAATTTTGTAAATATCAAAACTTTTGAGTGCTATTATATAATTGTACCTTGTAAATAAATAAATAAAATAAGTACATAAAAATTCTCAGCGTACAGAGAAGAGGTGGAAGCTGACGACGACAAGATCCACAGTCTGTGGGATGATTTCTCAATAACGGCGGAAGCTCATAGGGGCGGCGGTCGATTGGATCTGCGGCGTTGCAATGAGAGGAAATCGTGAGTTGAGGTCGACGAAGGAGAACTTGCCCGCTGCATTGAATAATGAAAAATTATTCCATATGAGCGGCATATGCAGTTCGATATTCACCGTTGATCAGATTAAAGTTATATTTTAGTAAACCTTTTTAAAAAATAAAAATTGATGAAAGCCTTAATCAACGGTGGAGATCGGACGGGGTGCATCATCTCCGCATACGCCATCGGAATGGAATAATTTCTCATTGAATAATAATATTTTGCATTTACTTTCAGCCAATTAAAACTACAATTTCCAATATATACAATATATACAAATCCATCCAAACAAATTGCCCAATTACATATACACACCCGAAACATCAATATTTACAAATTAACCATATAGGTCATTTTTTTTAAAAGTTTCATGTGTCACGATCAAACTATTGAGAATTTGATAAAAATAAAAAATATAGGTTGGGGTTTTACCATCATGATATTTGAGTGAGAATTTGAAAAATAGTTGAAATGGTGTGGTCAATTTGCAAATGTGAAGTTTCAGGTGATCTTTTGTGCAATTGCCCCTTTTTGTTCTTGAGGTAGTATGCACAAAATCATAAACAAAAAATTAAAACAAGTATTTACAATAATTAATTTTACCTTTATTTTTTGATACCTTATTTGAAAATATGAGAGAGTTTACCATTTTTCAAGTTAACATAAAAAGTAAAAGAAAACAAAAGTTAACATAAAACAAAAAGTATATTTTTTTTTTTTAAAAAGGATTTTTCTTAAATTTAGTAAGCTCAATTTTATCTAAATTTTTACTTTAAAATTTTCTTTTATTATATGATGTTTTAAAATATACAAGAAAAGGTAAATTTCAATTTTATATAGTGATAATTATAATATTTTTTATGTGATTAGAAATTTGAGCGACTTGTATGTAAATATGAAAGTTTAGGTGTAAGATAGGTAATTACATAAGATTTGTGTGCTATATGCATGTAAACATCCTTTAAAAATAATTTACATTTAAAAGCAAGTTTTAGTAATCTAATTAAAAAAATTACATACATACCAAAATTCTCACGAATTTATATACCCAAGACCCAAACTTTTATATTCATATTTATAAATCCATTCATGAAATAAAATGTTCAACTTTTTAATATTAAAAAAAATAGTGCTAAACATATAAATATGAATGATTAGTATTACATTGATGAATACGTAAGAATAAAGCGGATGCATGTAAATGACCCCTTTTTTAACTTTAACTTGTTAATCTTATTAATTAAAATAATAATAATAATTTAGAACTTTCAGAAAATGCCTCACCTTTTACGTATTTAAAACTTTTAGCGGAGATATAAAACATCGCAACTTTTAATACCCTCTTTTCTCTTGAGTTTAAAATATTCAAATGAATTATGACATTATTCTCAATTCGGTCAAAGTGCAACGAAACTAATAAACTCTTTCTAAATTATGTTTTCATAAATATAAATTTATCGTATTCTATATAGATTTACAATATTCTTTTTTAATACATAAAAAAAATGCGTGATCTAGTTGACGTTGATCACAAAAATGCTTGTTTATTATGCACGAAAATATTATGTTAAATAGATCACGTGCTCTTTTTCAAATATATAAAACTATCCAAGAAGAAATCCGACCTCATCCACACAATTTAGTAAAATAATTCTCTTCGTAAAAAATTTATCCTTACCAGAGCTGGAGTGCATGAAGAATTATTTCTACAATCCAAATTCCTTTGCACGAATGCGGCAATTACTATCTCTCTTTAAAATAAGAAATATTGCAGTGCAAACCTCCATTGGTGCTACAACAAGACGGATCCAATCGGATATGAGAGATACGTACAGACATATCCGAGATCCATGGTATCCATAGTGGAGAGAACCATACGGGAGATGAGAACGCCGGTGAGGTATCTGAACATTACCGGCCTGTCGGAGCGGAGGAGAGATGGCCACACGTCCGTGTATACTACAAGGCAGGGAAAGCTACTCACCGGGGATGAGAGGAATCGTCCGGACACGCATGCTGATTGCAGCCATTGGTGCCTGCCAGGAATTCCGGATACCTGGAACGTCCTGCTTTGCGCCTACATTGTAAGATCCCCTATTGTTCCGTTTTAGTTCAGTATTTACTTCGGCTATGAAGCCGACTCCATAGCTCCATTTTTTCTAGGATGACTGATGACTTTTTTTTTTTCCCCCTAAATGGGACTCTAGTTTAATTTCGTTGGGGTGAACTCAAGGAATGTATTAAGCATCAGGGCATTATTATTATTATTTTATTATTATCTGGAAGATTTACAGTCATGCCACTCAATTCTTATGTATTACACACTAATACTAAATTTATATATATATATA